TGGCCCTGTGCTTCCCATGAGCGGCATCCTCTACACGTGTTATAGTTGCCTCCTTGTAAGAATCCCCTTGGGGGCATGGAAGGTGACAGCACAGACTGTAGCCGAATCTCTGACACCTGGCACATCAGTGTCTTCTCAGAGTATAAGTACATGTCAGAAATTTGTATTTCCGGAAAGAGGAAAGGGTGCCTGTTAGCACCAACTGTGTGCGGTACACCAGGTGTGGAGGGGGGTGTGAAGAAGTGTCCAACCTGCCCCCTGCCCCCAGGAGTCCTCCAGATGGGGAAAACATTCATAAAGCAAAGGAAGAATGTTCTCAGCGTTTAGTGCCTGGAAGAAACAGGGACGGGAGAGATGCGTGTCCAGCGTAGTCAGGCCCAGCAGGGAACAGCAGAGGCCGTGAGCAAGAGTGGATTTACCTGAAGTTGATGACACAGCAGCAGGCCTCTCACTACCAGGAGCCCCTGCGAACCCCTTTGTATTTGGAAGTTTGCATAATTTTTTAAAGATGGGCCCCCAATTGGACAAACTTTAAGTCCCACAAAACCTGGATCCACCCTGGGCCATTGTATTTGACTAGGAGGAAACAGATGGTGTTTCACTTGCAGGATAGGAAAAGTAGTCAAATGTAGAAAATTAAGATGGGACGAGCAGTGAGAAAGTAAGTGGAGAGTGTGACTTCAGAGATGTCCATCCATGAATTGAAAAGGAAATTGGTGGAAGCCAGAGAAGAGGGCACGAGGGAGGATGCTGGGGGGGAAAGGACTATGTTCCCACGGCCGTATTAGTGTCTGCTCTCCTGGCTGGGGTGTTCCCTAGGAACTGGAAAGGGGTGGGTGGGAAGGCACGGAGAGAGTTAGATTCAGAGGGAGTTAGATTCCGAGAGAAGATCCCGGACTGAGGGAAGGGAGAAGACAAGGCCAAGGGGACTTCAGCTTCATCTGTGTTTTCGGATTTTTACAGTAAACGTGTATTTGTGTTACTTGGGTGATTGAGAATTGCTTTTTAAAGGGAGGCGGGGCGGGGACCTCCCTTTGGCTGGTAGTTTGGGAGAACAGGTCTGCAGGGGGCCACTCCCAAACTCAGCCCCTTGGAATTAGGTGGGTCCTCCTAAATGATGTGGGAGAAGTTTGTAACAGGATTGCATTTCTTGACTGCTTTGCCTCCTAAAAGGTCGGAGCTAGAGAGGTGTGGCTTTTCAGGGAACTCAAAAAATAAAAAAAGTAAAAGGTCAGAACTCAATTTAATGTTCAGCAACCACAATTATATTTCCTTAGTTGATTGGTAGATTTATTTTACATTTCTTCTCTATGCTTTTTAGTTTATCATTTTAAGACTTTCAATTTATATGTATCTTTTATTCCAAGCATTTTCAAACCCCTCCTTTTTGGGTGACAGATTTATTGAGATATAATTCCTATACTATAAATTCACCCATTTAAAGTGTACAATTCAGTGGTTTTTTGTGCATTCACAAAGTTGTGCAACCGTCACCACAATCAATTTTAGATTATTTTCATCACCCCAAAAAGAAACTAGAACCCTTTAGCAACCCCCAACACCCGCCCCCAGCCCAAGGCAACCACTAATCTAATTTTTGTCTCTGGACATTTGCCTGTTCCGGACATTTCATATCAAAGGACTCATATAATATGTGTCCTTTTGTGTCTGGCTCCTCTCACTTAGCATAAGTGAAAGTATCCATGTTGTAGCATGTACCAGTACTTCATTCTTTTTTATGACTAAGTAATATTCCCACACGAGGATATACCACGTTTTGTTTCTCCATTCATCAGGTGATGGAAATTTTGGTCAAATCCCTTTAAGAAGCAGATTATGTATTTTTTTTTTTAAAAAAAAATACACTTCGGAAGGGTCACAGATGGAATGTTGCTTTCCATACATCAGTGTAACATGCATCCCTTTCTGATTTT